TTTATTTATTTTTAGAGGAGGTACTGGGGGATTGAACCTAGGACCTCATGCATGCTACCATTGAGCTATTTCCCTCCCTCTGATTTGATTTTTATGGAGGTTTACTTGGCACACAGAATAGTGTACAATTTTTAGCTCAACATATTTTTACATACATCTGTGCCTATGAGTTAGGAATGTGATTTAGGTGGGTGTAAGGGTGGGGAGGCATAGAGTGCCTCCCCGAGGAGGAGACATTTAAGCTGACCTGAGAGATGAGAAAGAGCCAGCAGGAGGAAGAGAGACCAGCAAGTGCAAAGGCCCAGTGGTAGGCAGAATTATTTGAGGTGCAGAAGGAGGCCCTCAAGTGGAGGTGCTGTTAGCATCAGAGTACTCAGGAACCGTGGAAGGTTCTGGAGCAGGGGTGTCACGCTCTGCAGTGTGCATGATCCATAAGCCTGTTCCTTGCCCTGCCCAGGCGGGGCAGACAGCCCTGATGCTGGCAGTCAGCCACGGGCGGGTGGACGTGGTCAAAGCCTTGCTTTCCTGCGAGGCGGACGTCAACGTGCAAGACGATGACGGCTCCACAGCCCTCATGTGCGCCTGCGAGCACGGCCACAAGGAGATCACGGGGCTGCTGCTAGCCGTGCCCAGCTGCGACATCTCCATCACCGACCGTGTGAGTCCCCATCCTGGCGCACCCCGGGGAGGGTGGGAGCCCGGTGCAGGGCGTCAGCATAGAAAACGGATGCTTTACAGGATGGGAGCACAGCTTTGATGGTGGCCTTGGACGCGGGACACAGTGAAATTGCCTCCATGCTGTATTCCCGCATGAACATCAAGTGCTCAGTGAGTCTCAGTCTCTGCCGGGCAGCAGAGGGGGGCGGGGGTCCTCAGGGGGCGGATGGTGTAGGGGGCCTACGTCAAGGACTGTGTGGTCAGCTGCTTGTTGAACCTTCCCGCTGCCCCCGTGAGGAAATAAGGCACAGAGAACTGAGACTGCAGCCCCAGGTGACATCACAATATTCGAACCCAGATCTGTCTGGTTCCAGATGCATGCCCTTCATTACCACACTGAGGACTTCCGCTTTGACTCGAAGCATGCAGTGTATTAACGGCCTTGAGAGGTCTCACTGTAAAGAGACCTAACCTAGCTGTGTCTAACTCAGTATTTCTCTGATTAGACCACAGAAGTCTGGGTTTGTTTTTTTTTTAAATCATGCCTGTTAGCAAAACACTTTTTTGGAAACCTTAACAGGAGGGTAATATTGATACTTTCTGTGTCCTGAGTGCTTGATGGAGGAGACAAGCCCTTCCAGTCTGATGGGGGAGACAGGGGTACACCTCATAAGTCTCCAAAGCCCTGCCCTTGTCTGATGGAGGAGACAGTCTAAGGGACTGTGTACCAGGTGCCTCTCAACAAGTGTGATTTCTTGAACCTCCCACAATAACCCAGTTCAATTGCATAAAGTACTGTTATTATTTCCATTTTTTAGGTGGGGAAGCTGAGGCTTAGAATGGTTACACTCCTGGCCCAAAGTCTCACAGACAGGAGGGACAGGGACCTCGGGGTCTGAATCCAAACTGGGGTCAGGAGCCTCGCTGCTCCTTTGCACTTGCCCAGCCTCCCTGAGGCATGTCTGGGGCTGGGTTTGAGGGGGGTGTGGTGGACGTCGACCACAGCAGTCTGCCAGGAGAGAGAAGGTTGCTGAGACGTAAGCCACGTGGCTCTCACCTGGCTTCCACGTTCTTCCTGAGGCTCCAGGTCTTTCTGGCTTCACTCCTCAGGGTGTGAGGACAGCTGAGCCTCAGGTGTGGCGCTCAGGGCATCACCTGGGGATCAGCTCTGGGCTTCTTTTCCTCAGCTGGGAGATGAGGGTGATGGGGCTGGGTAGTGGTGTCCTGCTATACAATGTGTGGTCCTGCTCCCAAGGACTGCTGAGGGACAAACCCCACTCCTCCATCACTGTCCACCTGGACCACTGCCGCTACCCCTGCCCTGGTTCCCTAGCTCCCACCCTCACTGCCCCTCCAATCTGTTCTCCCCAGAACAGCCAAGGTCACTTGTCGGGGTCCATCCCACCTCTGCTCACAGCCCTCTGTGGCTCCCACCACCCCACTTGGAGAAAAAGCCAAAGTCATCCACAAAGCCCACCAAGCCCTGCTTGACCACCCTCACCTGTCCACTCTCTCCTTCCCCTCTGCCTTCTCACTGTGCTCCAGCCACACTGGCCTTATCCTTGCCCCTGCCTCAGGGCCTTTGCACTTGATGTTTCCTTTCCCTGAACTGCCCTGCCCCTTAGCTGGCCCCCCAGCTCAGACATCACCCCCCACCATCACCCACTCTCCACATTCATCACCTTCCACTCCTTCTCCTTCGGGAATATCCTCTACTCCATTCACATGTGTGTTTCTCTGAAGCATCTCCTCCTCAGCGTTGCCTCCTTGAGGCCAGGAGGCCAAGGCCTCTTCACTCACTGCAGGTGCAGGGCCAGCCAACAAAGTTGGCACCTCAAAAGGATGCCAAATGAAAGGAATCCTGCTTCTCGTTTCAGTTTGCCCCGATGTCTGATGATGAGAGCCCTGCGTCGTCCTCTGCAGAAGAGTAGCCATGAGGCGGTGGTCCCCAGAGGTGCCTCTCCTCGGGGAAGGGGGTGCCAGGCAGCCCCAGAGTGGAGCCTCGTCCCTCATCCCTCCTTCCTGGTCCCCTCCCTGGCCAGCCCCCAACCCATCCCCACCAAGGCCCAAGTCTTCAAGGCAAGTGGGTTTTTCTTCTGCTTCCCAGGGGGAGCCCCCAGCAGTGACAAGACTTCAGCTACAAGCTGGTTTTTCCTAGTACCCCAGTTCAAAGCAGCCGCAACACAGACCAGAGCTAAATTCTTATATAATTGGTGCCAGTGGCTGATGCTGGGGCGTGGGTTTGTGAAGAACACTGAGAACAATTGACTGGCAATATACGTGGAGGAGGGTGAGAGGGGAAAAATACTGTATTTTTAAATCATTGTCAGGGGAGAGGGGAAAAAATCAGGTTATTTGTTGCCAGATTTGAAAGTCACTGGAATTGCACATTTTCCTTTGAATCCTGAATGTTACTACACATGGATCGGATCGCGTCTGGAGTGGTGTAACGCCCCCTCGTCACACCTCCCCCTCCATTTAATTGTCTGGTATATAATAGCGTCTTGTCCACTCCCACCCGACCCCAGACGGCTTTCTTAGTGGAATTTTCTTCTGGTCTCTTCACACAGCAGATCCTGTCCTTATCACCCGGGGTAGGAAATGTCATTGTTTCTTCTGCGTTCTGCTTGTTGTCACAGCCAGTGTCGCCCCTATTCAGGTGGGGTGGGGGTGGGGGGAGCTCAGGACCCAGCAGCCGAGATGTGCCAGCAGTTCCCATGGAGAAATTACCCAGCAATCCATCCCCTCCCTGCAGGGGGACCCTGGCAGATACTCATTTTCCTAGAAAAATCCTTCAGACCTGGAGACTCAGGAAATGAATCCAGTTCCCAGAGTGGCCGCTGCATCCCTGGGCTTGGCACCCCAGTAACGGGGCCATCCTTGTCCTCTCCAGACTCCAGAATTTCTCTCCTCAAAGGAAAGAAAACAGGGCATGAGACTGTGGCAAAGCATTGGCGCAGGGCCAGCAACGCCATGTGTGCTCCATTAAAAGTTGGCTGCCCCCAAGGGCTCCCAGTGCAAACTTAAAGAGACAGGGCTTTGCCGAAAACCAAACAAGGGCCAGCTGGGTTTTTTTGGTTTATTTGGTTTTTTGTTTTTTGTGTGTTTTTTTTTTGGTTTTCAAACAACCTACAGGCTTTCCAGAGCTGCCTGGAACGGAGCCTGCTGGAAATGGGGCTCTCCCAGCACACGCAGTTCCCTGCATGACCTATTTTGTCCTGAGCATCTCAATGCAGTTTTTTCTCATTCTTTCCTTTTGTGACCAAAAAGAAGGTGGGGACCAGGTTTTGAGTCTCAAAAAGTGCCTTGTGACCAGACAGTGAGATCCCTAGCTCTTAGGTGTCCTGCCCTCCCTTGTCCAGTTCTCAGCTCGGCCATCAGGGTTGAAGCCAAACCCCAGCAGGACAGAGCAGTCCCTTCGGCTCTTACATGTTCATTCAGTAAAGCTAAGTGCAGGCTTCTCTTCTAGAAAAGTAGGTTTCCTGGCTTGATAGAGTCCTGCTTGCTTTGATTCTGATGGAAGGGATGTTACCTAAGACAAAGAGCTTGGATGATGAAAGGAGACATCCCGGTTTGTGTGTGTGTGTGTGTGTGTGTGTGTGTGTGTGTTTGTGCACGCGCACACACACGTACGCATAAACTGGAGGGGGGACAGAACCCAAGCTGACTGGGGGCGAGCATTAACAGAAGGCCACAGCTCTGGGCAGCTTTGGGAAGTGGTACAAGAATTGTGTGCCTGTGTGTCTGGCCCTGGAGCCAGTGGGTGTGTTTATTTGGAATTCCCAGACGCAGCTCTTTAAACTGCGCCCCCCCCCCCGGGAAGTCCGTATTTATCCCTGTGCTCGCTGGTCCCCCACGCCCATTGCGCTTGGCGTGCCAGTCCACAGGGGTCCTGCCTCTGACCCCGCTCTCTTCTCACGTGTACTCATGACCTTGAACTTCACTTTGTGACCACGGTACGTCCATAAAGTCAGTATTACACTTAAATGAAGTATTCCTTTTTGTAATCGTTCTTTAGAAGGTAAAGGAATTTAATAAAGCTACCTTATGATAATACCAAAGCATCTGTATCTGGTCTTGTCTCACTGAACTCATCCTGAAGCTTTAAAATCGATCTCTTTTTAAAAACTGACTTACTTGAACAGTGTTCGACGCTACAGAAAAGTGGCAAGACTATTACAGTAAACTCCCTTACGCTCTGCCCTACACTGGCACTGTCCAAGACTGTAGCCACTAGCCACCTGTGGCAATTTCCACTTAAATGTAAATCAACTGTAATTAATTCATGCTCAGCGGCTGCCTGTGGCTGGTGGCTACTGTACTGGGCTGCAGAGACACAGAGCCGCCACCACTGTGGCAAAAAGTTCTAATCAAACCCACTGTGGACAGCTCAGGAAAATGTGGTCACTGTTTTTTTTTTTTTTAACTCATGACAAGATCATTTATAGTGATTATAAAACGGCAAAATTTTAAACATACAGCAACATTTGGCATGGTGGAGGGTGCCATGGTCCCTCTTGGTAGAAATGCCTGCCATTGTCAATACTTTGGAGTATTTCCTGCCAAACCTTTTTCTAATAGGTTGGGTATTAAACTATTAAATTTTCTAACAGGTTGTTTTGCTGTTGTATTTTTTATTGAGGTATCATAGACATTTTGTGTACAAGTCATGTACAAAAGTATACAGCTCCATGGTTTGTTTGTTTTGAGTTTTTTTGATTTTGTTTTGGAGCGGGGAGGTAATTAGGTTTATTTAGGCTTTTTTAATGGAGGTGCTGGGGATTGAACCCAGGACCCTATGCATGCTAAGCAAGCACTCTACCACTGAGCTACCTCACCCGCCAGCTCCATGGATTTTTGGAAAGTGAACCTTTCCACGTCACCAGCACCAGGACAGGGAGTGGAGCATCCTCAGGCACCCTCCGCCCCACCGAGGCCCCGGGCCACTCTCCCCTCTCCCCTCAAGGGTAGCCGATGATGGATGATTGCTCTCTTGATTATCACTTCCTTGGTTTTTCCTCCAGACTGTTCAACCAGGAGATAATGGGGCATTTTCAGACGGTGTAGGAAGTCCCCAACATTTTATGTGAAGTTGTATATTTCTGAGCAGAAGTTCCACTGATCTTGTCAGTTTTCCAGAAGGGTTTGTAACCCAAGAAAGGGCCTTTTGAAAAATTTTTAAAAAATTGTTTCTCAGGGGAGGGTGTATCTCAGTGGTAGAGCACGTGCTTAGCATTAAAATAAAATCTAATTACCGCCCCCAAAAGAAATTGTTTCTCACAAGCAATTACCCAGGACCGTTTCGTCATCTTTGTGACCTTGTTCAGCTCAGGCTTAAGACCCCATTCGCCACTCCCTTAACTCTGTGTCTCGCTTTGGTTTTTAAAAATATAGCTATGTTTATTTTTGTGGCAAAATATACATAACAAAACATTTACCGTCAAAACTATTTTTTTTATTCTTTCAATGGAGGTACTGGGAAATGAACCCAGGACCTCTTGCATGCTAAGCACGTGCTCTACCACTGAGCTATACCCTCCCCCCAAAACTATTTTTAACTGTGAAGTTCAGTGGCATTAGGTACATTCACATTGTTGTGCAATCATCACCACCATCGACCTCCAGAACTCTTTTCATCTTCCCAAAGTGAAACTCTGTCCTCATTAAACATTAACTCTTCAACACCCCCACCCACCCCCACTGATGGCAGCCACCATTCTACTCTTCATCTCTATGAATTTGACTCCTCTAGGGACCTCTTGTAAGTGGAATCCTGCAGTATTTGTCTTTTTGTGACTGGCTTATTTCACTTAGCATAATATCCTCAAGATCCATCCATGTTGTACAATATGGCAGTATTTCCTAACTTAAAAAAAGACTGAATAGGGGGTGGGGGTATAGCTCAGTGGTAGTGTGTGTGCTTGGCATGCACAGGATCCTGGGTAGCTCCATTAAGGGGGGAAAATAATGATTAATACAATAAAAATATATGAAAAAGGAAAATTTTTTAGAAAAAGATTGAGTAACATTTCACTGTTTGCATTTGTTTATCCATTCATCCATCAATGGACACTTGATTGCTTCCACCTTTTGGCTGTTGTAAATAATGCTGGGTGTACAAATATCTCTTCAAGTCCCAGCTTTCAATGTTGGGGGTCTATACCTAGAAGTAAAATTGTGGGGTCATACGGCCCTTCTATTTTTAGTATTTTAAGTTACAGCTGTGTTCTTTTCCGTAGCAGCTGTACCAATTTCCATTCCCACCAACCAGTTTCTCCACCTCCTCACCAACAATTGTTATTTTCTGATTAAAAAAAAATTAGTAGCCATCCTAATGGCTGGGAGTGGTTTTTGCTTTGTTTTTTGGAAAAGAGGTAAGTGGCCTTTTGGAAGGGAGCATTTATATATCAGGCTGTGGTTGTGAAATCGGGACGGCCTATAACGGGAACATCCTACCCCAGCTGATAAGAGAGCTATCATTAGCCCATGGCTTAGAAAGGTAAGAACTTGCCAAGGTCACAGGTTAAAAACTGCAGAGCCAGAAACTGAACCTATGGTCTTATCTCCTCATTTTACTCAGCATTGTACGTTAACCCACTGCCTTTAGGCACAGAGACGGTGAGCCTGCTACCAAAGGTCACACAGCCAATGGTGACAGAGCAATCTCAGCATCAGATGCTCAGCCATCAGGAGGGTGAGTGATGATGTAAGTGCTGATTCCGGGGACCCAGCTTCGTACCCAACCACTTTGACATCTGCTAGCCACTCTCAGGCCGGACCAGGGGGCTTCTTAATCTGAAAATCTGAGGATGGCCTTCTGGGGTCCTGAACCCCCAAACTCTACAAATTCCAAAAATGTGTGGATGTTGGGTACGTTTTTCAAGGAAGATTCTCTCCCATTGCTTTCATTAGATCTCAAGGTCGGGGGCAGAGGGTAGAGCTCAGTGGTAGAGCATGAGTTTAGCATGCTTGAGGTCCTGGGTGCAATCCCCAGTACATTCAATTAAAAAAAACAACAGAAAGAAAAGCTTAAAAAAAAAGATTTCAAAGGAATCTGTGACCCAAGGGAGACTAAATATATAAGCCCTAAGGGTGTCCCCAGCTCCGTGACCCCTGTAAAATATTAAAACATGAGCAGCCCCAGGGTCTTGGCAAAAACTAGCTCAGGGCAGTAAGCTCTGGGCCTGGGGTTGGGGAGCTATCAGACTCTGGTGTTCAGTGGAAATCACATTTCCTAACGTCTCTGTTGTAGTTTCTCTCCTCCCTCCTGGGCTGTGCCTTTCCTGTCTCACCAGCTGCTTCTCTTTTCTCCGAAGTCTGCAATTGGGGTGGGGTGGGGGTCTCAGAACCTGGCTCTTGGACCTCTTTCTCTCCATACTCACCCCCAGGGCCATCTGGTGGCTGCACTCTGACAATGTCCGGATTTCTATTTGCAGCCCAGACTCATATAGCCAAGCAACCATCTTCTTGAAAGTCCCATGTGGCCATGCCCCAGGCACTGGGAGTGTCCCCAGACTTTCCATTTCATGTAGCCCCTCACCTGCTCCTGGCCACTGGCTCCTGCCCCTTTTGGCCACTAGCACCACCACCACCCAACAGGGCCAAACACCCAGGAGGCATCGTCCTCTTCCTCATTCTGCACATCCAGTTTTGCTGGCAAATTCTCTTGATTCCAGAAGATGTGGAGCCAATCCACTCTGTAGCTCTTTCCTACTTAAGGCCTTCCAGTGCCTCCCAATGTACCAGAATAAAGCTTCCAGGACCCCAGTGAAACCACTTGCTCAGTCCTCTCTGGCCATGCCAACCTCCTCACTATTCCTTAAAGAAATTAAACTACTCTACCTCAAGGGGCCTTTGCACATGCTCTTTCCTCTGCCTTGTCCTTTGTTTCTCAATACGTCTTCCATCACTCAGATCCCAGTTCATCTGTCCCCTCCTCAGGGAGTCCATCCCTGACCACCTAACCTAAAGTCATCCCTCCCTAACTCTCCTATGACCCTGCTTTATCGTCCACATGACAGGTCTAAAATGATCCCGATCATTTATTTCCTTGTTTATTGGGAGGGCTTGCCACTAGAGCAGTGGCTTTCAATGATTTTTTTTTACATAACCTGTGGCAAGACACAAATTTCACAGGTGATCCAGTGATCCAGGTGTTATGGCCACATAACAAATTACCCCCGAAATTACTGGCTTTAAACAACAGTATTGAGCATGCTCACAAACCTGCAGTTCAACCTGGGCTTGCTGGGAACAGCTCTCTCTCTGCTCCTTTTGATGTAAGCTGGGATGGCTCAAAGGCTGGAGGCTACAATCATCTCAATGCTCACTCACTTGCCTGGTGGTTGATGCTGGCTCTGGCTGGGACCTTATGTGGGAGACTCTTCATGTGGCTTGGGCTTCCTCACAACATGGAAGCTGGGCTCCAAGCACTAGCAACCTAAAATTGAGAGAGTGAACCAGCATCGGGCAAAAATGTATCCTCATTTCTAATCTAGTCACACAGTGTCCCTTCTGCCACATCTGTTTGTGGCACAAAGTTCAGTCCAAGTTCAAGAGAAGAACTGGAGTCTGCCTCTTGACAGGGAGTGGCAAAGTTGGAACTATTTCTGTAGCCATTTTGGGGGAAAATACAATACCACACCCAGTAGACAAAAGTCTTGTTTCCCAAAATAATACCTAGCTTTCTTCACACAATGCACTGATTTTTTCCCCCATTGTATTTTGTAGAAAATGCTGGTCCTGACCGCTGAGCTGATTTCTTCACCCCCTTTGAGGAACAGGTCACAAAAGTGAACATTTTGTCTTTCCTCTACTTTAACTCCGTACACAGGATGTTCGGTGAGAGTTAGACACCTCACCCACTAGCGTTCTAGCGTTTATTTAACGCCTATATAGCACGTACTGAGTATCAGGCACTGCCCTCATTTAACTCTCACGCTACGTCTTAAGTAGACACTCTGATGACCCTTATTTCACTAAGTTGGAAAGAGAAGTACAGAAGGATGAAGCAATTTGCCCGGGGGTAACACTGTCAAATCTGGGATTGGAACCCAATAAATCTGGTGGCAGACTCCATTTAGCTACGCAGCTTCTTAGAGAATTTACTTCTGTATGATGTTTACTCTAAGTATCCCACACACACACCGCAGAACGTCAGCTCCACAATAAGCAGCTCACTGCCTCGCCTCTAGAATCCCGCCCTGCACGCAGCAGGAGGACCCGAGGAGAAACTTGGCAGAAGTTGAAAGCCCTTGCAGCCGTTTTTTCCAGTCTGCGCAGGCGCATCAGGCAGGCTTGCGGGGTGGGGGGCATCCCCTTCCTGCGCAGATTGGGCAGCGCCGATACTGACAGAGGAGCCGGCGCAGGCGCACTGGTTCGACTCGAAATGGCCAACCTCATCCACTGATGACTGACGTGGGGTCAACCCAATAGAAACGGTCCTCT